TCTATCTCTTTGAAAACCAGTTTATACTTCCACTACTACCAGTTCACATATTGCTGCAGCCTATTTTGTAGGATTTTGAGCATGGCCTTGCTAGAATGTGAAATGAGTGCAGTTGTACCATAGTTTGAATATTCTTTGGCATTGCCCATTGAGATGGGAACATAAACTGACCTTTTCCAATCCTATAGCCACTTTTGAATTTTCAACTTTGCTGGCATATTGAATGCAGCACTTTAACATCATCATCCTTTAGGGTTTTAAATAGTTCAGCTGGAACAGGGTCACCTCCACTAGCTTTGCTGTTGGTAAATGTTTCTTAAAACCCACTTGACTTCACATTCCAGGATATCTGGCTCGAGATCAGTGATCACACCATTATGGTTATCAGAGACATTAAGATGTTGTATATTTTTTCTGTGTATTCTTGCCACTTAATTTCTTCTGCTTCTGGTAGGTTTCTACCATTTTTATCCTTTATCATGCCCATCTTTGAACCAAACGTTCACTTGATATCTCCAATTTTCTTGAAGAGGCATCATCAAGTCTGGTCCATTTTATTTATTCTCTATTTCTTGCTTTGTTCATTTAAGAAGGCTTTCTTATCTCTCCTTGCTGTTTGGAAATCTGCAGTCAGTGAGGGAAGATATATAGAACTTTGGAAACCACAATTTTGGGGTGCCTATTAATTTTGTCTAGTGCCCTTCTTTCAAATACAGAACAGGTTTATAAATCATGGAGGGCAACAAATGTGATTCCTCTTGACACTGATTGGCAAAGTGCAATTCAGATGTGAGGAAATTCCACATCAAGAGGTGCAGAAACTTGAAAGGACTAAAGAAAAATTACTTGACTTGATCTAAGATAGAGAAGCCTTAGAAATTGAAGTATTTAGGAGGGCTAGAGATTTTCCCCACCAAGTGGGCTTTTAAAAGGTGGGGGGCAGTTTCCATTTTTTACTTTGTCTTTGTGGATTTATATTTCATCTTCCATAACCGGCTGAAGAAAATGTAAAGCCCTTAGCCAGCAACAGTCAAGCTTAAATCTATGAATTTGAATAGCAGGATAGAATTGACAGCTGCGATATAAATTATCTCATGTTTTGGATTGAAATCTAGGTTGTATGAATTTGTTCTGGGGTATGAGATTGGGGACTGAGGGAACACCTAGTCTCCATGGTGACAATTTTTTGTTTCCGAAAGCAGTTGTTCACTCCTTTTTCTTCTGGATCATTAAATTGATATTTAAAATGAATCAGTTTAGGAAAGATAACTTTCATCGTATATTTCTTGCAAGATGAGGCTGCTGAAGAAATGAAACTTGCCTCTCGTCCCTAGTATAGGTAGTTCTTGACTTACAACCACAATTTACCCAAAATTCCTGTTGCTAAGTGAGACAGTTAAGTGAGTTTTGCCCCATTTTACGAACTTTCTTGCCACAGTTAAGTGACTTTGGCTTTCCCTAGACCTTGCTTGTCGAAAAGTTTATAAGTGATATTGGGACACTGCAACCATCATAAATATCCAAATTCTGATCATGTGATCATGGGGATGCTGTAATGGTTTGAAAAACAGTCATAACCCATTTTTTGTGTCTGCAATTTTGAATGATCACTAAATGAAATATAAGTCGAGGACTACCTATATCCCAGGGAGAACAGGTTTGCTTTGAAATGGTTGGTAATAACAAACTCTGGGCTTCTCCCAAAAGTTATGAGAACAAGAGGAGTCAGAAGATAGCACAGTTATGAAATGTGTGCATAGCTCATTACAAACTCCAGCATTTCATTTATTGGCTTCTGAAGCACCAGTGACATCATAAAGTCAACATTATGTAGAAAAGAGTTAAAAGAAGCTTAGAAGTACAAATGTTATATACCCACACATCATTGTGTTAAATTCGCAGATTTTTAAAAAGTTTACTTAGTACTATTATGATCATTAGTTTTTCACTATCTTATCTAAATTATACTACATTTGTGAATACATGTATATGAGAGTGTGTGGTACATATATTAAAACCTGTTTTTAATTTGCTAGGTTTTTGATGCTGGAGAAGACATGATCATTAAATTACAATGTTCTGTCATTTTATAGTAAGCTTATATAAAAAACCTTACCAAATGGTTATGATTTTTATATAATATAATTCTTAATACATTTTAAGCACACCAAACTCATAAAGATAGTCTGAATTAGAAGATGCAAATCTCAATGTAAATAATTATAAGAAAAATATTTAGGAGTCAACTACAAACTATTCTGCATTTGAAAATTAATTTTATCTTTAAAATTGAGCTGCTTTACTATCAGAAAACAAATTGTTCTTGTATTTTCCCGGTCCTTTTCTCAAAATTTCACCTAGTCTATAAATTAATAGAAATTTAGAAAGAATTGAACATTCTGACACTAAAAAAATGGTGTGAAGAAGACAAATAGTATTTAGACTGAAAATCCTCTATACACACAACTATTTAACACCTAGAGCAATTCTATAAGTTTTGACTCTAATAAGCTTAATACAGTTTAACAAAGCAAGATCATACACAACCCCAAAAGAAAGTCATGGCTGTGAACATTTGGGTGAGATGACTCTGACCTAATTGTCCATTCACTGTATCCAAACACTACCCTTTGAAAAATAATTCCTATCCCTAGTTTGTACCATTGTGTATAGGCAGTCCTTGAATTAAAGTCATTTGTTCAGCAGCCATTCAAAATTATAACAGTATTGAAAAAAAGGATTTATAGCTTGTGCCCAAAGTTACAGTTGTTGCTGCACCCGTGACCATGTGATCGAAATTCAAATGGCAGCCAGCCTGCACTTACGACTTCAGGGGCGCTGCAAACCCCCACCCCCACCCCTAATCATTCTCCTAACCCCAGCTATGTTTTTGGTCACCCTTGAAGAGTGGCCCTTGGTGACCATACCAAGGCTGGGACTGAAAGAGGCTCAAGGCTTTCAGCAGTCCTACTTAGTTGCCTTCCTTATAGCCAACCATGTCAATTCCATTGTCCAAAGCTTATTCTCCAAATAACCTGGGAAAGACCAGAAGGTTTCTGAAAGATTGTGAGAATGGGGTTGTGCAATTTGGACAAAGAAGAAGTCCTGGTAGGGCCAGCAGCTCCCTCAAATACAGCTGTATACCTCATGATGACAAGAAAAACTGGTAAAGGTCATCCAGGTGCAGGAGAATTTGGGGAGCACAAAGGTGTGCAGCAATTGTGATTATGCACAGAGGTGCTGGTGTGTCTTGCCACAATGTGGGGCTTAAAGCAGTATTTCTCAGTAGTAATGCTGGGGCTGAAGTTTGGCGGCTGCCAGAGACTACTGAAAGACCAGGCCTCTATTCTAGCCCTGGCATAGCTGCCAAGTGCCACTGAAGGGAAGTCAAAAGGCCATTGATTCTCTCAACCCTCTGCACATTCCACACCCCTATTTAGGACTTCCTTCACTCAGTGATTATTAGTTAACCAGGACAGTCAGGAGTGCTGAGATTATAATTGCTAAGTGATATGGTCATGTGACTTCTTACTTTACAACTGCATTGTTTATCAACAGAAATTCCAGTCACAATTGTGGTTGTAAATTGAAAACTACCTTTATGTATCGAAAATATAAATCTAGATGGACAAATGATGCTGAACCTTAAGTAGAAACTAGACAAAGGCATTCATTCGTGATTAGAAGGTATATTCAGGAACTAATTAAAATATTTCTGATGATAGATGAATTCTATATTAATCCAGAATCTAGTCTTTTGTGGGAAATTGCATGTTCTTTCATTAAAGATGCATTCATATAACTTGTACCAAAATATATTCCAGTGTTTTGCCTAAAATTGGATTGTAATTTCATTATACTTGTTTTTAATGAGAATGCACTTTATGTACATAATAAGAGTGAAATAAAGTCACTGGATAAATTGTCAAGTTTGTTTTTTGTAATGTCTTTGGAATTAAGAATGTTACCTGAATTTTAAATACCTGAACTTTTGCTATAGTTAGGGAATATGTATAAAGCATATGAAAATATTTTTTGCCACCTATTACAAATTATAACCCCTTTTACAACAGATGCATTTATACCTTAGAGTAAGTCATTTTGTTTTGTTTTAGAATGGTCATATTTCTAGAAAGAATATTCAAGTGTTTAATATGTTATTTTCACTTTCAACCATGTTTGTTTTGAAGATTTAATTATGATATGAAGTTTGTTGGAATTTTGATACACTATAGTTCATTTCCTAGCTATAGGAAATTAAAATACAACAGTATTTCTGCTCTCTTCAGTTGTTATTGATTGTCATATTGTTAAGACTAAATATTTTCAAATCTAATCCAGGAATCCTGATTATGCAAATTAGTGTTGCTAATTAGACCTACAGCATCAGTCAGAGGCAAGCTTTAGCTGCATTATAATAAACTGTTTCTGTTGATCAACTACTGGTAATTCAGGCATTTCTGAATATGGAGAGTAATGACAAATGTCACTAAGGTAGTATATCGTGTATTTACATCCTGCAGGAACTAGGGAAAATGCTCCCTTTACACCAGAGGTCTCATTCTCGCGGCCCGCGGGCCAATTGCGGCCCGCAGGACGATATATTGTGGCCCCCAACGTGATATGAAAGTATAACATTAGTGCATTCTCCATGCGTCGCTAGCTGGCTGAACACTTCTATGTGCGGCCCAGCCTCACCCAGACTCTGCCTCCAGCGACCCCCCAGGTAAATTGTGTTTGAGACCCCTGCTTTACATCATCTAAATTCCCTGCAAGTCTTCTATTTGGGTGAATTTATGGAGGAAAAAAAGCTATTGAAATATTCCAAAACATATGTTTACCTTTAATGACCAAGTCTTTTAGTCAAAACTCAGATGATGGAATTACTGAATCATAGCAACTGTAATTAATATTTATGTGTTTTCTTTCTATTAAAAATCAAATCTATATAGTGTAATTTTTCAGTATCTCCAAGTTAATGCTTTTTTCTTCTTTTCCAGGAACAGAAAAGTAGTAGACTACTCACAGTTTCAGGAATCAGATGACGCAGGTAAGTTATCAATTCCGAAGCAAAATTTTTCTACAATTATGAAGAGCAATGGGCAACAAATGTTTGAAAACTAGTTGTATATTTTACTCAGGGGCTGTGCTTAAGTGATTCTTTGTTTGCCCAAAGAATCTTTATCTTTTTAGATAAAGTTTCTTAGTTTCTATGATTCTAGAAAGTTTATTCTATTTCCTCAGAAATGGCAATCCATTAACATTTCTGGAACCAATACAGTTTACTTCCTTTCTTGGCTAGAAAGATGGCATGCTCCTGTAACTTCATAGTGACCAGAATTGTTACTGTATTTATTAGTAAGGGCAAATCATGGTAAAATTCCATATTATTGTTACCTTTTCAATTTCATTATAAATCATATTATATTTTTCTAAAATAAGAAACGGCTGTAATAATAAAACAAAATATATGTCGCTCAGTGATGAACTATGGAATGAATCCTTGATGCTCTTTGAGTTTAGTTCTTCAGTTCATTGTCAGGGTAATCAGAACAGATTGCATGCAAGTATTATAAGTTTGGCATATATTTTTAATTATTTTCCTAATGATGTCCAACGTGATTTTTTTTTCACATTTGCTCATATTGGGTCAATATTTTTATCTAACTGTCATAATTTTAATACACTTTTTCATTCATTCAGTGCTCAATCTCAAACTGCCAATTTAAGTATGTTTAAGGTTTTATTTGTTTCGTAGGCTTTTGTTTGTTTTGTTTTATTTGGTGTTCATTGTTTTGTGTGTATGTGGTTTTTTCTTTGGTTTTTTGCCTCAGCATTCTTCACTTCACCTCTGCTTACATATGTTATTTTTATCCTTTTTTACTTAAATTTCTGAATATCTTTAAATAATATAATCTCATCAAAAACCTTGGTCTTATTGATACTACTGAGTTAAATTTGTGAGATAGAATATCTGCATTCTTGAAGGCTGCTGTGAGGTTTTATCTCTCAATGTGACTGGTTGAGTTTTACTTTATTGAAGATTTAAGAATGTTGCTTGCCATTCTCAGTATTCTTTCCAACTCACACTCTCACTCACTTATAAATGCAAGAAAATATAGCAAATTTAAAACTACACAAAATAAATAACAGCAGAGACTACAAAATGCTATTTTAAAAAATAGCAACCCTGGATTTTCAGTACTTCTGATCAAAATTTAATCATTTGTTTTTAATAGAATATTATATTTAATGGTGATTTTTAAGTTAAACTGACAGGCTTGTAAATCACTTGTTTATTAATTCTGCTTAATATTGTTTACTGTGTAGATGAAGAATATGGTAGGGATTCAGGCCCTCCAGCAAAGAAAATACGTTCATCACCAAGAGATGCAAAAAATAAGAGGAGGTCTGGAAAAAATTCTCAGGAGGACAGGTAAGCTGGAGATAGATTTCTAGTACTTAGATTTTGTGTGTTATTTGTCTGTGTGCTTGTGTATCTATCTAGAGGTTGTATAATCTATTAACTTACCTTAAAGACAGTAATTAAAAAGTATGAATTTTATAACAATGTTCACTAGCCTACAGATTGTGTCCAATTAGAACATTTTGAATTTTAAAGTTTTGTAACATTGAACGTGGAAGGATAGCATATTCTATTTGTTGTTAAACTACAGCTCCTAGTTTTCTTTACTATTAATGTTTATAACAGTTTGCTGTGTGCAACAATTCATCACATCTATAAGGCATATCTTTCCAATTCATGTTTTGTTTTCATGATATCAAAGACCTGCAAAATCATAACACTTTGAGCATACTTTGAGCTTTAGGATATTTATTTCTGCACAATTGCATTATTTACATTTTTTTTAGAATTGGGGTGTGCGTGTGTGTACCCATGTAAAAATAAAGAAAACTGATGATAGAAAAAGACCTAGTTGGGTTGCATCTGTCTTTTGAGGTATTATTTGGGTTTTGGGTTTTTTTTATTATTTTTGTTGGATGTACATACTTCATCGTAAGTATGTTTAAACTCAGTTACTGATAATTGATTATCTCTGCTGGAAGTTGATTCCAAGCTTCTACTGTTCTTTCTGTGAAGTAATACTTTCAAACATTACTTTTTAACTTTCCTCCTGTCAGTTTCTTGATGTTTGTTTATATAGAAAATTAGAAGCTTATTCAGATCCGTAATATATATTTAGGATATCAGTTATTTCTCCCCTTTTGACCTCCAGACAGTACATATTCAGTTCCTCCAATCTCTCCTGATATATCTGTCCCTCAGATCTTGTACCATTTTATTATTCATCTCTGGACTTACTCAACCATATCAATATCTTTTTTAAGTGAGATTTCCATAATTGGACACAGCATTCGAAATATATAGTATAGTACTATATACTATAGTATATAGTATCCCTATATAGTGTAATTAGAACCTAATATACTATACATATAATATGATTCTACTTTTTAATTATTTGAGTTGATTGTGAAAAATCAATAGAAGAAATGAGTGTTTGCCAAATGTACATTTAGAAAATAAACATTAAGATGAGAAAATATAGAAGACAATAATTTCCTATGTTATGAAGGAAGAAAATAGCATTCACTTATTGAGTTTTAGTACCACCCAAAGCAATCATGATGTTTCCATCTCGTGGTTTTATCATTCATAACATTTTAAGGAGTATTAAAGATAACAAACATTGTCCCTAGAGACATCCAAAGTGTATTTTATAGTGAATACTTCCGAGGGCAAAATGAGAACCCAGATTGTTGGGGGCAATATGCTAACTCTAAACCGCTTAGAGAGGTCTGTAAAGCACTATAAAGCGGTATATAAGTCTAAGTGCTATTGCTATTAAAATGGGTTATATAGGTAGTCCTCAACTTAAAACCACAATTGGAACTGTAACTTCCATTGGTAAGCAAGGTGTTCATTAAGTGAGTTGTGTCCAAATTTATGATCTTTTTAACTGCCAACGTTAAGTGAATCTATCTTCCTCCATTGTCTTTGCTTGTTGGAAGCCAGTTGAGAAAGTTGTAAACGGAGATGACATGGCCCAGGATGCTATGGTAAATACATGCCAGTTGCCAAGCACCAGAATTTTGATCAATTAGCCATGGGTAGCTACAATAGTTGCATGTGCAAAGACCAGTTGTAAATTGCTTTTTCAGCAGATCATTGAATGAGCACTAAACGAATGGTTATAGTCAAGGACTACCTGTACTGCTAATACAACATAAGGCTAGGGAATGGTATTTAAAGCATAATAGACATGGAGGTTGTGTGTGGAGATTTAGAAAAATGTATTAATTCTGTTCTATTTTTCTTATTGTAAGCAGAAGTGCTGGCAATCCAAAATCATTTGGAACTACTTAATCCAAAAGAAAATCAATAAATAAGTAAACAGCCAAAATACCATTTTTATTTTATATACTGTAACTTTATATATCTTAACCTTTTCCATTTCACATCACATTATATCAATTCAAGATTTAAGAACCATATTTCACCCATTATCTCTGTGTCTTCTAAATAGGCTTAATTTAATTGAAAGGGGGATTCTGCAAGGGTACATAAGATAGTACTGTTATATTAGAAATAGAAATGAACTTTGAAAATATGAAACAAGTGTGATTAAAAGGATAGATAAAATACTCATTGTAATGTAATGGAATGTTTAATATATAAATGAAATAAAGAGAATAAGAGAATGGAATGAGGAAAGGAGGGGAACATTTTAATTATTAAAATGCTAATAATGTTAATTAAATGTGTTAAGTAAAGTAAATAATGTGTTAAGTGAAGAATATGAAAGAAATATGAAAAAAAATTATGGAAATATTATAAGTGTTCTTAGAAGTATGATATCCTATTGAAAAGAAATGTTAAAGACGTGAAAGATTGTAACTAACATTAATCATAGAGCTGAATTGGAATAGAATGGGTGTTGGTAGAAGTTACCGTGAACGCCCTTTCTATCTATGCTGCGAGAGAGCCCAAGATGGGTTGACTCCTTCCTATGATGTCATAGCTGAGTCTGTATTAAGATATAAAAGCTAGCCCCCGGGAGAGACCCCAGCTTTGGCGAAGATACTTGACAGACTGAAAGGTGTCTCTGAAAGCCCAAAATAAATACAGAAATATGTCTTACCCTCTCCGGACGAATCAAGGGAGGGGCTAGGCTCTCTCGCAGCATAGATAGAAAGGGCATTCACGGTAACTTCTACCAACACCCATTCTCCTCCATGCTGCATCGAGAGCCCAGGATGGGACATACCAAAGCTTGCATGTCCACAGGCGGGTCCTCGTCTGGCTCATCCCACCGACTGTGGAACCACTCGTTGGAAGCACCCGTCTGCCGAAGGCTGCAGTCGCCGAGGCAAAAACATCCAGACGGCAGTGCCTGATGAAAGGAGATGGGGATGTCCGCGTGGCCACATGACAAATCTCCAAGGATGCTTGGATCGCCCGCTTCTGGTAGAGTGCACTGTCAGACCTCGGGGAACTGGAAGGGCCCAGCTTTGTAGGCCTGCTCAATGCAAGACCTGACCCACCTGCTAATAGTAGGAGAAGAGGCCTTGTGCTCCAAGTGAGAAGGGAAAAAGGAAACAAACATGGCTTCCGACTTCCTGAAGGAGGAAGTGCACTTAATGTATATTCTAAGAGCCCTTCTTACATCTAGCCTGTGCCACTGCCACTCTAAGTCATGGTGCGGGAGAGGACAGAAGTCAGGCAAACCAATGTCCTGGGACCTGTGAAACCAGGTGTTAACCTTCGGAATAAATGAGGGGTCCAGACGAAGAACAACCCTATCATCGTGAAAGGAACAAAGGTCCTGTCTGATGGAAAGAGCAGCAAGCTCGGAAACCCTCCTGGCAGAAGTGATGGCAGCAAGGAACACTACCTTCAGAGTCAGGAAATGGAGAGACACTGTTCTAAGGGGTTCGAAGGGGGGCTTTGTAAGGGCATTAAGGACCAAATGAAGGTCCCAGGAAGGATACCTGTGAATCACCGGAGGGTGCAGGTTGGAAGCCCCCTTCAAAAACCTCCTGACTGAAGTGTGATGGGACAAGGAAGGAAGCGAACCCCATGAAAGGACTGAGGAGAGGGCCGCAACCTGCCTGCGTAAGGTGTTGGGGGCCAAACCTTTCTCCAGCCCATGCTGAAGAAAGCTAAGAACTTCTGCCAACTGGGCTGAAGCAGGAGAAAGACCCTCTCTGAGGCACCATCGGGAAAAAGCCTTCCAGGTGGCATCATAGATGTGCCTTGTAGAAGGTTTGCGAGAAGCCAGGATAGTGAGGATGACCCCTTCTGGAAGATCAGCCTCCTCTAGCCGCTGCCGCTCAAGTGCCACACAGTCAGCTTGAACCACTGGGGCTCTGGGTGGAGCAGGGCCCCCTGGTGAAGGGAGATTAGATGGGCAGGGATCCTCCAAGGAGAAGCCACCGATAGGTTGACCAGGTCTGCAAACCAGGGCCTCCTTGGCTAATAGGGTGCCAGGAGGAGGAGCTCCGCACGTTCCTCCAACATCTTCCGAATTACTGCTGGAATGATGGGAAGCGGGGGGAAGGCGTAGAGGAGACCCTTGGGCCATCTGCACCGAAGAGCATTGGTCCCCTCTGCTCCCTGGCAAGGAAACCTGGTGAAGAATCTGGTGACTTGGGTGTTTTGAGGAATGGAGAAAAGATCCACCTCCGGTGTTCCGAATCTGAGGGAAAGATCTCTGAATAGAAACGGAGGAATGGACCATTCTGTCTGGTTGACGAGGCTCCTGCTGAGCCAGTCGGCCTGGGAGTTGTCGACCCTGGAGATGTGGTCTGCTGAGATCGATAACAAGTGTTTCTCTGCCCATGACCCCAGCTGTAGAGCCTCTCTCATGAGGGCTTTGGACCTCCTCCCCCCTTGCCGGTTGACATGAGCCTTTGCGGCCATGTTGTCCGTAAGGACTAGAACATGAGAGCCAGTCACTGATTGCCTGAAATGCTTGAGAGCCAGAAAAATAGCTCTGAGCTCTAGCCAATTTATGGGAAGGGTCTGTTCTGATATGGACCAAACGCCCTGAGCTATCTGGCCCTGCATATGGGAACCCCAACCCAGGAGGCTGGCATCGGTGGTTACCACTAGCCTGTCTGGGTCCCTGAACAGGAGTCCCCTCCAAGTAGATGGGGAATGCCACCAATTGAGAGATCTCCGGATTTGTGGCGGGAGTGGGACCTTGATGGATGAGTGGCTGGTTCCTGCTTGTTGGTAGGCAAGCAGGAACCATTGGAGGGTTCGGGAGTGGAGCCGAGCCCACGGGACGATGCCAATACAGGAAACCATCTTCCCCAGAAGTTTGGACAGCAGCGACAAGGGGACAATTTGATGTTGCTGGATCTGGCTGATGATCTCTGCAAGGCTCTTTCCACAAGCTGGGGACAGGAAAACCTGGCACGACATGGTATCGATGACTGCTCCCAAGTGTTGCAATTTGGTTGTAGGAGAGAGCTGGCTCTTTTTGGTTTTGATGGAAAATCCATGGCTCTGGAGACATGACAGGGTAATTTGCAGATCCTGATGGGCTGCAAGGATGGAAGAGGAAAGAATCAAAATGTCGTCCAAGTAGCGTTGGATCCTCACTGGAATAGAACGCAGAGATGCCACCAATGCTGCCAGAACCTTTGTGAAGACCCCTGGAGCTGATGAGAGGCTGAAGGGAAGTGCTGGGTAATGGGTATTCTGATAACAGAAACGGAGAAACTGGCAATGATGAGGCCAAATTGGGATGTGGAGGTAAGCCTCAATGAAATCAATGGAAGGGAGGAACGCTCTCTAAAATAGAATGCAGAGTCTGCATTTTAAATTGCCTGTATTTTACAAATTGGTCGAGAAATTTTAGATCAAGGATGGCTCTCCACCCCCCTGAGGCTTTGGGAATGATGAAAAGGTGAGAGTAAAGCCCACGTCCCCGTTGAGATGAGGGAACAGGTTGAATAGCCCTGATTTCAAGAAAGTGCTGAATGGCCTGATTCATGAGGGCTTGCCTGGAAATGTCCTGAGACACAGGTCAGATCAAAATATTTGGGTGGGGTGGGGTTAGGAAGTCCAATTGTAACCCTGATCTAATAGTGCTGAGCACCCAGGCGTCCGTCCTTGACTCCGCCTGCCAATTTTGGAGCCATAAAAGTCTTATTGCTGCTACAGAAGATGCCATGTCCTTGGATGCAAATCTGGCGGAATTGAGAGTGGCATCCGCAGTGAATTCCGCTGCTGCAATAATCTTATTAAGGTCTTGGTGAGACCGAAGGTCAGAAGCAGGCAGTCTATTCTGGAGTTGGCGTAGCCACCATATGGATGCCCTGGTGAAGAAGGATGCTGCTGTTGAAGCCCGTACAGCCCAAGCAGCAGCCTGGTGATTGCGCTTGAGGGTCTGTTCGGAACGTTTATCATCCGGTTTCAGGATATCTTCTGGCTCCGTGGGAGTGCCAGAAGATGAGAACGAGGCCAGAACCAGAATGTCAACAGAAGGCACTGCCAGGGCATTGTCCAGAGCTGCGCTGACATTGTAGAAACGCTTATCTAGAGAAGATGGGCGAGGACCTGCCGAAGGAAAAGCGCACTGTTCTTTGACCATGTCCAGGAACAAAATGGGAGAAGGCAAAACCTCTGCATGCACTACAGGCTTGGAGAAGAGCGAATCCCCTTGGCTAGAGAGATTTCCTTGTGGCTCGGGAGCCGCTTCTTCTGGCGACAGCTTGGCAGTGACCAAGGCCTTGCTGAGTAATCGTCTGAAGAGAGTAGGTTTGAAGACCAATGCAGAGGATGTCTGTTCTGGGCGAGAATCCTTTTCCTCTGAAAGATTTTGGTGAAAAATCTCACCCTCTTCACACTCTGAATGAGAAGAGTAACTGTGTTCAGATGGTGAAGGCCTTCCTTCCTCATCAACCTCCTCCTTCTGGTAGAGAAGAATGGACCCTGAGCCCTGTGTAAATCAGGATGATGAGACAAGGAACTTATAGATTGAGAAGCGGCTGAACCCTTTCCAAAGGTTGATAAATTTGCTTGAAGCCTTCAGCCAATCCCTGCCTAATAAATGGCTGATGAGACTACATCTTGGATATCCCTTGGTCTATGCTCAGAGGCAGAGGCAGAAGGCAGAAGGCCCGCTGCTGTGGGAGTAAAGGTGGCTTCAAGCCTAGAGGTTCGAGGCCTGGAGGGAGGGGGAGGAGCATAGGGCACAGAAGCCTGTTGGAAATAAGGCCCAGATCTGCTTAAATCCTGAGGATCTCACTGTACAGCAAGAGCCTCAGGAGACCAGGATGGAGGATGGAAAGGCTCATAGATAACTTCTCCTCCCCTGGGAGGGCTTGGTTGGGGCCCACGAGTATCACCTGAAACAGTTGCATTCCCTTCTGTTGAAAAGTTCTGTTGAACTGCCTCTCTAGAGCTGCATGTCTGCACTTCTCTGCCCTCAATTCAGCCTGAGTTGCCTACTTAGGGGCTAGAGCCTTAGCTTTGATTTTAGCAGCCACCTCCCTCTGGACTGATTGGGTATGTTGCCTACGTCTTTTTCTCCTATCGGGCTTAAGAGATCCACTGGGGGGGAAGCTCTGCCAGAGCCTTATCTTGCTCCATTTGTAAAATAAAGGCTCTTGCGTTGGAAAGAAGCTGTTTAGAAATTTTTCTATTAAGCCCCTTAGGGTATAAGTGGCCCCTGGACTTACAAAATGGCCGCTCACCTTATGGTGGAAGGCTTGAATCCAAGATGGCCACTGACTACAGGAAAACAGGCTCCAAGATTGAAGAATCTCTCCTTAGGCTATACAGAGCCCAGAGCGAAGTCAGCAAGGGAAAAACACAGCAACCAGCTACACGATCAGCTGGCTTGAGCTCTCATCAGTTTGCCAATCATGTTTACGATCGCTCCAAACTGCAGGCGTGGAGGAGGTCTACAGGCGCTGCCCAGCTTGCCCGCACAGAGCTCTGTGACGCTGCTCCCAACGTTGCAGGGCTCTCCTGAAAGAGCAGCTGCCCAGATCCCTGGGAGCTGCTTGAAGAGAGGAAAAAGGTACTGAAGATCGCTGGTGATTGCTATCTAACAGAACGCTTTCAGAGACACAGCTACTGACTGAAAAGAGCTGAGTCAAAAGCTGGGGTCTCTCCCAGGAGCTGGCTTTTATATCTTAGTACAGACTCAGCTATGACATCATAGGAAGGAGTCAACCCATCCTGAGCTCTCGATGTAGCATGGACGAGAATAAGTATTTTATTTATTATTGTTATATATTTACTTTTTCTTTAAGAACTTAGTACGTATTTTAAGAATGTACCAAGCAGAATTAGACTGGAAGTTATGTGTTATATTGAATGTTATAATTGTAAAGGCATAAATTGAAGTTTAAATAAGAGTTGAAGGGATAAAAATTAAAAGATGTAAAGGTGTCATACTCCAATCAGTAATTACAGGGGAAAATTTTGTTTAATGAGAAAAGAAAATATGAAATTGAAACAGGACAGACAAAAGTATAAATATAATGATTAGAAAGATATTGAAACTTAGAAAAAGATACATATAATTGAATTTAGAAAGGAATGAGATAATTAAAAGTAAGATTGAGAAAACTAAGGGAAGGGAAAAATTATTGAGAAAATGTTAAAATAGTAATAAGATATGGAATAGAATACAAAGATGAATATGAAATTGAATTTGTGTCTGTATGGAGAAGTGATAACTCAGGACCATGCTACTCTCAAAAAAAGAAATTTTACTTGTATGATGTTTTGTGAAAACCCAAATAATTTTTTTATTAAAAAAAAGATTTAAGAACCATAAAGGGATATGACAGTTTTGTATAAAGTATATGTTTGCCCAAATTATTAAAATTGTATTAAAGTATGTTCCTTCCACTTACATCAGGAAAGATGAAGGAAGAAGCACTTATAATCTTCAAATGTGTAAAATAGTAGAGGCAGCAGAGAAGCCATGGTGAAGAAAAATTGACTGGAACAACCTAGGATGAATTGCAGATAGCTCAGATCATGGATTGACAATTGTTTAGTCTTGGTATAATCATGAAAGGGATGTGAAGAGTCATTGGCATGTTGGCATGGCATTTTACTTAACCATCTTAACAGAATAGCTTATACCAAGATCATGTGTTCTTTTTCTGATTTTAAGTCATGGAAAAAGTGAATATTAAGAAGCACTTCCTTTTCTTGTCCTAAATAAGAAAAATGTAAAACTGGTAGTATGCATAAGATACACACTTGGAATTTCTTGAATAAGATATGAATAGTTGTAGTTTAATTTTCAACTGGTATTATTAAATTGCATTTTTTCAGAAATGTTTTTGTCAAGTTATTAAAACTTTTGCTTTCTCTGTAAATCAGACTATTTAGAAAGCTATTACATTGATGAGCTTCAGACAAATAAACCCTTAGAACGGAGATTTCACAGTTAAATTGCAAGTTCCCTTCATCATCCCATTTTTCATCTTAAAGGAGTGATAGAATTGAAAACTAGCTTACTATTGATTGATTAATCAAAGTAATAAAACTAATATAATTCTGTATTATGGCCATTATCCAATTTAATTGTATCTCTGGGAATGTAATAACATCACAGCAATCTTTCTGGAAATAATGTCTTTTTTTTCCTTTTTATAGTGAAGACTCAGAAAAGGACATGAAGACAAAAAGAGACGATTCACACTCGGCAGGTAATTAAACCATTTTTTTTTAAATTGATGGCAGTTTGATCAGAATATGTAATCAATAATTTCACTGTTATTGCTGCCTGTAACCTTTAAAGATCTCTTATTTAAATCATCTACTTATTCTTAATTTCAATAGTTAGTGCCATGTGATTTGTTTCTATGTAGCATACCTGTTGCTGAATTAAACTCCCTGCATTCTTTAACACTGAACAGAACCATCCTATTGGGGGTATTTGGGAGTAAGCACAACCTTCCCATGGCTGCTATCTGTAGCCAATTTCTAAGAATATTTCTATCATTATTATTATTCCATTATCTTTTCTCAGATGAAGATTTTGGCAGTGACGATGATATAGGAGCAGATGATGGTAAAGCTGACAGTGACTATGAAAGTTCTCAAAAGAACAAAAAAGGAAAAAAAGTGAAGCCTGACAAGAACAAAAAAGCTGCTTCCAGATCTAGAAAAAGGGCTGCAGGTAATGTCTTCCAATAATGTGTTTAACAATAACATCATTTAATATCTATGTGATGCATGATTGATTGACAGACAATTTCAGGTAATGTTTCATGAAATCTTAATTCATTGGAATTTAAATAACTAATTTGAAGTACAGTATATAAGTAACTATTTATACAGGTAAAACTCGAAAAATTAGAATATCGTGCAAAAGTTTATTTATTTTAGTAATGCAACTTAAAAGGTGAAACTAATATATGAAATAGACTCATTACATGCAAAGCAAGATAGTTCAAGCCGTGATGTGTCATATAATTGCGATATGGCTTACAGCTCATGAAAACCCCAAATCCACAATCTCATAAAATTTGAATATTACATGCAATCAATAAAACAAGGATTGTACATAGAACAATATCGGACCTCTGAAAAGTATAAGCATGCATATGTACTCAGTACTTGGTTTGGGCCCCTTTTGCAGCAATTACTGCCTCAGTGCGGCGTGGCATGGAAGCTATCAGCCTGTGGCGCTGCTGAGGTGTTATGGAAGACCAGGATGCTTCAATAGCGGCCTTCAGCTCTTTTGTATTGTTCGATCTCATGTCTCTCATCTTTTTCTTGGCAATGCCCCATAGATTCTCTATGGGGTTCAGGTCAAGCGAGTTTGCTGGCCAATCAAGCACAGTAATCCCATGGTCATTGAACCAGGTTTTGGTGCTTTTAGCAGTGTGGGCAGGTGCCAAGTCCTGCTGGAAAATGAAGTCAGCATTCCCATAAAGCTCGTCTGCAGAAGGAAGCATGAAGTGCTTCAAAATCTCCTGGTAGATGGCTGCGTTGACCCTGGACTTAATGAAGTACAGTGGACCAACACCAGCAGATGACATGGCTCCCCAAATCAACACAGACTGTGGAAACTTCATACTGGACTTCAAGCATCTTGCAGTGTATGCCTCCATTCTTTCTCCAAACTCGGGGTCCTTGGCTTCCAAATGAGATGCAAAAATTGCTCTCATCAGAAAAGAGGATTTTGGACCACTGAGCAACAGATCAGTTTTGTTTTTCTTTAGCCCAGATAAGATGCTTCTGACGTTTGTTGTTCAGGAGCAGCTTGGAAGAGGAATACGACATTTGAAGCCCATGTCCAGGATCCGTCTGTGTGTGGTGGCTCTTGATGCACTGACTCCAGCCTCAGTCCACTCCTTGTGAAAGTCCCCAACACTTTTGAATGGCTTTTTCCTGACAATCCTCTCCAGGCTGCGGTCATCCCTACTGCTTGTGCACCTTTTTCTTCCACACACTTTCCTTCCACATAACTTTCTACTGATGTGCTTTGATACAGCACTTTGGGAACATCCAACTTCTTTTGCAATTACCTTTTGAGGCTTTCCCTCCTTATTATGGAGGGTGTCAATGATGGTTTTCTGCACAACTATCAGGTCAGCAGTCTTTCCCATGATTGTGATTCCTACTGAACCAGACTGAGAGACCATTTAAAGGCTCAGGAACCCTTTGCAGGTGTTATGGCTTAATTAGCTGGTTAGACTGGGACACTTTTGAGCCTAGAATATTGAACCTTTTCACAATATTCTAATTTTCTGAGATTGTGGATTTGGGGTTTTCATGAGCTGTAAGCCATAATCATCACAATTATGACAAATCATGGCTTGAACTTTCTTGCTTTGCATGTAATGAGTATCTCATATATTAGTTTCACCTTTCACCTTGCATTACTGAAATAAATGAACTTTTGCACAATATTCTAATTTATCGAGTTTCACCTGAATGTATGAAAACTGGTAAAATCAGAACTAAGTCAAATTCTTGATCTGAGGCATATTGAAGGTAACCAAAAAATATGTCATAACATACAGATGAATAAAATAGAATTTAAACTGTATGTTGCCTTTTTGTTTATTTTGATCTCTCTCCCCATTGTTCTGATTCTGGTTTACTTAGTATAGTATCTTAATTCTTACTTGTTCATATTTTCCCATAAAGCTTTGCTGAGTTCAAAAAGCCAAATGAAGGAAATAAAAATGGATCAAGAGTAATAATTATATCTGTTTTTGATTTATTGTATAATGTAGATGACAGTTGATGCTGAATGTTGCATTACTAGGAATATTTTGCATCAAAACATATTCAGAATAATTAGAAATTGCAAGCTATTAGATCCAGGTAGATCCATGTTGGAAATGTATATGGAAGAATCCATATTTAGTGATCTTTCTGATTTTATAACAGAGGATAGTGAGGATGAGAAAGAAGATCACAAAAATGTGCGTCAGCAGCGGCAAGCAGCATCCAAGGCTGCTTCCAAGCAAAGAGAAATGCTAATGGATGATGTGGGCAGTGAGGAGGAAGATCAGGAAGAGGAAGAGACATCATTTCAGGAAAGTAAGTGACATTCAGAGGCACGTGTTATAGATATATGGAAAGTAAGAATGAAATGTCAGTCTGCAGCCATGTCTGATGTGGCATCCACATTAATTGTTCAGACAACCAACGTGATATTTCATCATCTTAATTATGACATTCATTGCATTCTTGATATAATCATGTCATATTGGCAGCAAGGAGGATTTTAAAAATATGCTGTCCCTAAAATTCAGGACAAAAAAACTTTTCAGACCATGGCAATTTTTAAGGTAATATTCTGCTAGAAAAATGCAGAGAATATAAAAATGCCACTCACCACTGTTTTACCTTCAGCACTGGGCAATAGTCTGAACAGTCTAATTTTATTACAAATACCATCTTATCTGGCTTCATGATACAGTGAAGGGCTTCAAATCTTTGTCTTCATAGTTAGAATAAACCATAAGTTTTAAAACAAATTTGTGTTAAAATATGTGCAGTACAGCTTTCTAACTTGCCTATTGTATAAATTGATAGACGTTTGCTCTAAATGGTGAAAGGTGGGGAGCCAGGAGAAATTTGCAGTGAATGTATCAAATAAACAGAAACCCAGTGAATCTGTGAACTGATGAACTAGAATCATGGAAACTTGGATTCAAAACCTGGAAGTCTGTTTTAGGAAAAGTAAGATACTCTTTCTATATAATAAGTTACTGATATTGACTGCAAAGGGCACTTCTACAACTTGCTACAAGATGGAAGACCATATTGAACAAGAAAGGAATCATGACAGGCTGGGAAGGGCTTTGATGTAGAACTACAACAGCTGGTGTAAAAATGGTCAGGCTTTGAGCCTTAATTGCTTTTGAGGGAAAGAGAAATTTGCCTATGCAACTGCTATTTTAAATAATACTACTACTTATCACAAGCTCTAAAGCAGATTTACATGAGGAAATACTGAGGCACAGAAGTCGTGATTTCTCCAAGTTCTAGCAAGTGTGTTACAGGATATAGAAGCCAAGAATCCTATCTCTTGATCAACCTACCAGACTCTCTCCCTCATTCTGTCTCTCTTCCAAGTGAACAAGAACAGCTCTTCTTAGAGACATTTCATTCCTCTCTCTCTGCACAGAAGATTCTGGCAGCGATGAAGACTTCCTTGCGGAAGATGATGATGATAGTGACTATGGCAGTTCTAAAAAGAAGAATAAAAAAGTGGCTAAGAAATCGAAACCAGAAAGGAAAGAAAAGAAAATGCCTAAACCAAGACTAAAGGCTACAGGTGAGCTTAGCTTGCTTCAAAAGTTCTTATTTTACACCCATTAAGAATAACAGAATGAAATGTGTTGTTTGCAAGTACTTATATTTTCTCAGCTCTTCATCTTGTGTGTGCTTAGAAAGATATGAATCAAATTCTCAATGTTAAATCCAGATTTGTGGGTGATATAATTGAATAAGCTACTAAAAGTTCATTTGTGGATTCCTTTTTCAAAGAATCAGAGAATTCTGATTGGATTTGGATGGGATTCTTCTGATGTTATTGTTAGTATTATGTTCAGACCACTTGCCAGTGCTGATTAAAACAAGTGATACTAATGTTTTTTAGACCCCACAAGTGATATTATTTCACTTTGTTTGAAAAGAGAACAGTATTGCTGATTTTGACATGTAGAGATACCTACAGAACTACATATATCTTCAAATATACAATACTTATTTGGTTACATATTGCTTATTAGAAATTCAGCTTGGATGAAAAAATGTATAGAATTGTATCCTATAACCACATGTCTATCCTCAAAAAAGCTGTTGTCTTCTATTTACAGTAGAAAGCCCTACTGTAGCAAAACTGCTTTCATTATTTTTGCTGCTAATGGTTATGGAAAATTGAAAGGCAAATATTGTCAACCAACAGTTAGTGCCAGAAAAATTACTTACAGGCTGCCTGTACTTTACTATTAAAATATAGATAGTATGAGCTCAACTTCTTTGCTAAATAAGGATCCTGCATGTTTTCATAATAGTGCTGGCTCTGTTCAAGAGTTAGTGTGTTTATAAGATGATTAGAAAGCAGTATTTAGAGTTGCTTTGAATAGCAAGATGAACAGCTTTATAAACTGAATAAATGAATACATTTAATAAATACAAATCCCTTTGATTTGGGGTATGGGCATCTTAACCATTAAAACATGATGTAATAATCAAATATTTTACTATTGTTTTGATGCTTTTCTTCAGTTACACCTAGTCCGGTAAAGGGCAAAGGAAAGGGAGGTCGTTCCACAGCTTCAAAGACATCAAAAGAAAAAACACCATCCCCCAAAGATGATGATGATGAACCCGAAAGTCCTCCACAAAAGAAGAAATCAGTTAGTCCTCCTCCAGACAAATCTGGGGATGAAGGGTCTGAAGATGAAGTCCCGTCTGGTGAAGATTAAACAGTGGTGTGGGAGAGAAACTTTTTTGAGAGAGAGTAAGGAAAAGAGGATATACTTAGGGGTAGAACATGGTTTTGGTTGTGGCTTAACTATTGGGCTGTAAATGCCACTTTTACTTTAGTTGTTTTAATAGTACAATTCTTCTGTTTTGTTTTTTAAAGAAGACCTTTTATGTTTTGATGTCACAGTCTCTATTGGCCATTCCGTTCTCCCCAACAAATCTGAAAGCCATTTAGATTTAAATTAACAGCTAACTAAAGATATATTTTTGAAAGCTTACTACAGCTGTTAAGCAATAAGATTGAAGCTGACACTTGGAGATCATTGTTAACAAATAGAATAGATTTTCCAAAGTTGAGAAGTCAATTTGCTTAATTGAATTTAAAACCAATAATTATTGCATATAGCATTTTTGTTGGCATAAATCCATCCTTTATACCTGAATTATTTTGAATTCTATTAAGCATTGCAAATTCTAATACTTTGAATCTTTTGGCTTCCACTGTTTATCTTAGTGGCCAAGGGTTTTTTTTAGTAATAATTTAGTCTGATCTGTTCCAGGCTTTGAGAAGGTCATACCTGTTCATACCATTTATATCCTTTGTTAGCACAACATTTCTATTGGCCAAAATGCATTAATATCCTTCCAGCTTATTCTGAAATTTCTGTGCTTTTTCTGCTTTCTTTCCATAAAATTTAATTTCATTGAGAAATTCTGGAAGCTGGAATAACTGCTTTAAAATTTTTGAGCAATGCACTGAATGAGTGATTACACAGTATCTTTTTTAACCACTGGGTATTGATTTAAATATATTTCCCTTCATATTTCACAAAGTTGGAATACTCTGTTTCTATAACGTGTTTACTTCCCTTTCTGAAGAGTGAGTGCTGGTTCATAACCAGGCCTTATTTTTGGTTAGCAGAAGCTGGATACCCAAGCTAAACAAGAAACAGGGTGTAAACTGGAAGTCCATGATTGATACAGCAATCCTGCCAGAATTAACATTTTAGTATCTTATGCTTATATACTGTAATATTTCTGCTTATATATTGTAAGTTTATAAAAAGTTAAGTGGATAGCAACCCAAAAATATTCTCTTCTAGTCTAGGTCTACCTAATAAGTATGACAAAGCCAAAGTGAAAATGATGCATAATTCTGGTTTTCTCTTTCTTTCTCACATGCACATACATACTCATAAACCCAACAAAGTATAATTTGTCTTTCAAAAATACTTGGCTTATCCACCCTTTTTTATTTAAAGCAATGCTACTTGTGTCTATAATTGTTTCAAATATAAATCTGGGTTGTTTAGCAAAATAATACACGCTCATCCTGACTTGAAGTGATACCTTTGATCTAGACACCTTTGTTGGCTTCATAATTTTTGAACAATATCTAGAAAGTGAAAATGCTTTGAGTTTCTCCAGTGGTGGGATTCAATATTTTTTTAACTATTGGTTCTGTGATCATGGCAGAGGAAGGATACTGTAAAATCTCCAGTCAGAAGTAGTATTTGCCAGTTCTCCAAACTACTCAAAATTTCCACTACCAGTTCTCCAGAACTGGTCAGAACCTGCTGAACACCACCTCTGAGTTTCTCCTTGGACAGAAGCTAATCTGGACAGAGTAATTTTTGCCAATTTAATTGATATTTAAATGTTGAATGGTTCTAGCTAAGTATTATGTCCAAATTCTGAGTTCAAAACAGACTTATCACATCCTACAAATTAAATACTTGGTGACCTAGTATATGCAGTTGATCCAAATGTGCAGGTATTGGAGTGATTACCTCTTAATTATTATGGTCAGCCAGCAATATATATTTTTGCTGCTGATTCAGATTTGTTTTATATAATATGCATTTGTTTTCTTTCTGTGCTTTCGCTAACAGATACAACTGTGTGTAATAAGAATTAGGTTGCCATTTAGATTTTTCTTAAAGATAAATGATGGCAATTTGATTTCTTAATCCAAAATCAAATGCTGTGCTTTCACCGATCCTTGCATTTAACTCCTGGACAAAAATATTTTCAAGGTTCCTGAAATTTTTTAATTCAGATAATAGTTTGGCCTTTTTCCATTTGATAAATAATCCAGAGACTGAACATTAATTTTTCCCCTATTCACATAACAGCAGCAAAGTAATATTTTAAATATTTCATTCTATTTTGCAGTCTTCTGTCTCTCTGCACATATTGCTTTTATGTGAGGTATTCTAGGGATTCAACAGCTATATTAGTTTATTTGTTCCATAGAACAAGTGTTGCCAGATAAACAAATAGGTATATTCCAGTGAGTGCTAATCACACTATATTAGTTGCATCCTGGGAATGGCAGATTTTTTTTGATGTAGTTTTAATTAAGTATTTCTTGCATTTGCTGAAAAACCAAAAGCAAATACGTTTAGTGTATCTAAGTTATTGCTTCATATATAAATGTGATCGCAACAGGGGTATACATAAAATTTCAGTCAAGTTTTGAGAGGTTTGTGTTTACACATTACCTTTGAGGCCTGAACAGGTAATTGTGGCTATAATACTGAAGAAATAACTTGCACACCGTAAAAGGATAATATTTAGATACACTCTTTGTGATGACTTCTCTTAGGTATAATATTCTAGCACAGATCAAACAAAATGCAGGAGCATAATGGCTGGTTTGATCTGATATTAAAAAATCATGTTGAAATATATTGGGGGGGAAGGAAAGAAATGTATATGCATTTGGGTGATTGATGTGATATAAATGTTGAATATACTCAATTGTAATTGCCTGCACCAAATACTGAAACTGTTAATACTTTTAGACTGATTTTTAAAGCATTACTTAAGTATATGAGACAGCTTAACTAGAGCTAAGGAAGAAAAAAATGCTATAACATGCTGGAAATTTATGAGCTGTAGAAATTGGTGCTTTTGCTTTATGTAATTTTTCTGTGGAGTGTTTATTTTTTATAACAAATCATAATGTTGACACATGATTTTATAAAATAAAAGGAAATCGATTCCCATGATTTTAGGTATTTGGTAAATCATATTAGTATTTGGGGGGGAGATTTAACTCTTTCCCCTTTTCAATTAACTTGATTAAACTTCTGAATCTGAATGGCTTGGTCTCAACCTTGATCCTCTTGTTACCGAAACTCTCCTTTCTTTCCACTACCACCACCCCCTTAATTACAATTGGAATCTGGATTAACTCCTCTTGTGTGAAATGCACAGTGTAAAAGCTAGGTATGGATATTCTTAAAGTGATTTTCAGGGCCCAGGATTTATAAGCAAAACTAAGCTGACATTTGGTTTCCCACTTTCTTCAATTTACTGCTTTGCTGAAGAACTTCCATTATTTTCAGTTAAAAACTCTTCTAACATTTAAAGCAAGTGCTTCTCTATTTTGAGTCTATTAAAGAATTCACTACATTTTGATTTGATGTGTTAACCTTTTTTAAAAAAAATATTGATCCAAATGTGCTGTTCAAAACAGTGGAATGGTTCCATCAGTTAGAGCATGTCTGGTATGATGATAAAATACCATTGTGCATACATTTTATATACCTGGGTAGGGATTTTTTAATTGAGAATACAGCATTGGGGCAGAACTTGCTATAGCCACAATAACATAAAAATCCTTCAAGTATCTTGTATGAGTGGAAATGAAAGCGCATGTGTGTACGCATGCATGGATGTCAGCCTAACAACTTAATGCGTGTTAGAAATTCGTGGTTTACTGCTGGAGAAACAATTATTACAGAAATTGTATATAAGAGTTTTACATAATTTGTTTATCAGGAACATGGCACAGTCAAACCTTAACAGTTCCCACATTTTACAAAGAAACAAATTTATATCAGATAGAAATTGATGGAATTAAACACCTTGGATATTTGTCTTGGAATTAGCTACTTTGATGGGTTCTAAGTCTGTCTGGATTAATGGAAAGCATACATTCAAATGTGGTACCGAGGTCACCAGTCATGATAACCAATAAAGTTGTCAGTCTGTTGACAATGAAATCTGCAGCATGGTACTAAGGGTCAGTTTGAATGTAATAGTAATGCTTTATATAAAAATGAATTTTAAAAGGGAGGGGGGTTTAAGTGAACATGATATTGTTGACCATGTTCGTGAATTATAGATGCAACATGCATTGGTAGAATTGTGTGACAGTCTTTCGTGCTACTTAATTTTACATATTCCAGTCTGTATGTACTTGCAATTTAAAAAAAAAAAACAGTTCCTGCCTTGCTTTTTATTGAAGGGTTCCCAGGACTGCATATCAATTATTGAGCTCTGTTTTAAATATGTGTACCCTTGGCTTGTATTTTGTATTAAAAGAGAACATGGAAAAGAACCCTTTATTGTTCAGCATGTTGGAATTGTGTCCCCCTTATTTTCTCTCTCCTCTCTCTCTCTCTCTTTCCCTTTTTTGTTTTGTTTTTGTTTTTTGAATATATTAAGCAACTTATTCTTCTGTATCTTTTTTTCTTTTGTAAACTTTTTGGTTTTGTTTAAAAATGGCTTTATAAAAGGGCTTTTATAACCCATACCAATGCCTTCTGTGTTTTTTCCGCTCTTTACTGTATATACCAGCCTACCCCAACTTGGCACCCTCTACGCAAGTTGTATTTCAGTTACTATAATTCCCAATATCTGGTCATGCTGACTAAGGAATTATGAAACCGGTAGTCTAATACATTTGGAGGACACCGTTTTGGGGAGGGCTAGTATATGCCAGGTATCAATTTGTTTCTCAAAGTCAGTAAAAGTCTATAAGTTGTGTATTAACACTTATTTTTATATTCCGTGTTTAAGGCTTTTTGATAATTCTTGGAATTATCAAAATTTGATAATTTTGATTTGATTTGATAAAACTTGGGAAACCAGTATTTGATAATACTTGGGAAACTATAACTACTTATACAATTGTAAGTTTGCCCATGGGAATCACATGATCATAATCTGAAAAACTAGATCAAACTGAAAATGAAATTGCAGTAAATCATTAACTTACACATTGACATATAGACCAGTCTTAGGGGTCAACACTATTGAAAATATATATTTAAAGAAATATGTAGAAAATGTAAAAAAAATAGAATTCCTCAAATATTTAACTAGTTTTTTTCCATTGATGTTTTGAATGGATGGTATTTAAATTGTCCAAAGGGAGAAACAAGATGACTGTTAGGAGATGCAAAGCCAGCCACTAACAAACTGATTCTTGTTAAATTCTTGTTAAAAGCTACAAGATTGTTTTTGCCTAGAGACTACAAGATTTTATGAATCTAAGAACACTTGCTTACAACTTATTCAAATGTTTCATTCTTTGGAATTTTAAAACTGAAAAATTCTGAATCAATAACAGATTTGGAATTTTAATAATAAACTCTTCAGTTCTTTCAGTAACATTTGGATACAAGCCATTAGTTTTAATGACATGTTTTTACAACCATGATGCTGTTTCTTAACAGAAGTATCTTGAAAAGTATATCTCTATGACTTTAAAGCATTTTGTGTAATTTAAGATTAGTCAGTCATTCTTTATGTGTAGCCATAGAGGCTAAGGGTTGTCACAACATGATGTTATCAGAACGGGAAGATGTATGTTTTGTTTTTTGAAGTAGCACAATTGGTTCTCCTAGTTTTACAGAAGCATCAGTTAAGGGAGTATTTTGCTTCTTAAAACTCTACCCCCTTTGGAAAGTATTTCTGTGGCTATAGTGGGTACCTAAATTTTGTGGGTTTTTTGTGGATTTTTTTTATTTTAGTACATAATTAAAAGTGCAACCAAGAAAAAAGTAAAAGAATATTAAGATATACAAACTGTATACACTTACAAGTGTGAAACTTGTAAGTGTCAATCATTAAATTAATATTGCTATATAACCAGATTAACTGTTTTTAAAGGAAAATAATACTTAGCAAAGACAACTTATATGATAAAAACCCTCAATTAGAATAAACAATAGGAGTTTCTAATTTGTTTACTCTTATAATGAATCAGTCAAAATCTAATATTTTAAATCTTTACGTTATGGAAAATCCACATTTAGGATGTTGTACAAGTCCATATGTGTTTTATACTGAGCTGAATTGTCTTTCAAAATTGTTGAGATCTATGAGATTGCTATCAAGTATGAAAAACTGATTTATTGCATTTCCAGATTTGTTTATGAGTTATTTATTCTGTTAATCAATATTTGAGTAATTTATCAACCAAAAAAGTAAATTATTTTAGTGACTAAATTCATTTATTGCAGTAAATTAGAAGCTTATCTTACATTGGCATGCCCATTGTTACACATCATTTGGCCTTTTTAAATTTGATTTCCTTAGCTGCAATAGATGTTCTGAATTTTGGGTTACAGATTTTTCAAAAGTGTAAGTAGTCCCAGGTTATGACACCAGTTGGGATAGGAATTTCGGTCGCTAAGCAATGCAACCAAAGTATAACATGTAACCAATTTGTTCAGTAACGTCAATCCCACAGTCCCGATTGCTGTTGTAATCCCAGGACTATGTGGGTCATTGAGCCGTAAGAGGGAGGAATCCCAGGCAAGCAAGCCAGTGGGTTGAGAGCTGTGGGCAGGTAGGGTGCTGGGGGTGGGCTTTATGGAATTCAGTTGGGTGAAAAAGCATCAGGAGTGACTTACTGGTGGTTTCCCCATTGACTTCATGGTCGGGAACATCAGTTCACAGTGATGTAATTAAAAGCTGGGCATTGAGTAGCCAGATCTTGATCACATGACCATAGTGACTGATGGCCACTACTCTGAGGAATGGTGATAAGTCGCCCTTCTTTAGAGACATTATAACTGAATAGTCACTGAACTTGTCACTGAACTAGCCAAAGAATTGCCTGTAATCAAATATGTGAGGGTTCCATCTTATTTTTGTAATTCCTTTTGATTTATACTACTTATTTGAAAGTGTTGGAATCAGTGTAATTGAACATTTCATGGAGAAATCTTGAAAGATTAGCAACTTTGATTTCTTGAGGATCTTACAATATACAAGTAGTACTCAACTTACAACAATTCATTTAGTGACAGATCGAAGTTAAAACAGGGAAAAAAGTGAGTTATAACTTTTTCACAGGACCATTGCGGTATCCCTATGGTGACTTGATCAAAATATGACCGCTTGGCAACTAACTCAAAGGTTGCAGAGTCTTGTGGTCATATGATCCCCTTTTGCAACCTGACAAGTAAAGTCAATTGGGAAGCCAGTGTTACTTAAAAATCATGTTATGAAGTTAACACCTGTAGTGATTCACTTAACAACTGGCAAGAAAGCTCATAAAATTAGACAAAACCCACTTAACAAATGTCTCACTTAGCAACAGAAATTTGGCGTTCAAATGTAAGTCAAGGACTACCTGTATACAAATCATTTTTCTGGTGATCTTTTTTTTTTCTAAATTAGCCTTCATGAAAATAAATATTACTTAGCACAAGAACAAAGGTAATACGTCTGGACTTATTCCTGTATATCTATTGCATATTTTAGTATACTATTCATGATCAAGTAATCATTGATAAACAGGACACTTCTGCTTGTATATGACAAAAGATATTTTTGCAAGCTTCCAGAGAATCCAGTTCATCTGTAGAGGTAACTCAGTGGTATGGTGACAAGATTATGCCTGTAATTCAAGTTAAACAACTAATTGGCTTAATAATATAGTTTTGAGATTTGGTGTAGCTAGTATACCACATTCTTTTTTGTGTCTTGCAAAATTGTAAATTTAATGGAGAGGAAGTTAAAAATAATGATCTGTTTATTAAGTTCTTAGTTTATTAGATTTATATCTCACTTTTATTTTGTACAACTCGAAATGGAGTGGAATAAGTTCCTACTTTCCATTTTTACCCCAACAACTATGTGTATTGGGTTGACATTAATGCCTGTTTCTAAGACATCTGCCATTGTGTTCTGCAAGTGTTAAAACTACTCTCCCATCCAAAAAACAGGGATAAAGTTTTTAAATATGGTTTTATCCATTCTGGGAGCCATAGCGAGTTGCAAGAGAGATCACCCAGCACATAGACTGCCCGTCCTTTCTTTAAACCATGCTGTTCATAGCCATGACTTAAGCCATTTATTTTCATTTACATAGATTTAAGGTCCCTTCCAGCCCTGTGGCTCCCTGTTCCTAAATTTTCATTTTAAATTTTTCTGAAACCATATTAGAATAAAGTGGATATACATGCTTCAGTTATGCAATTGTTCCCTTGTTCTTTGATCTGATAAAATGAGATTGTATTTTAAGCTGTCATGATATTCTGCTCAACTGTCAGATTATTAAGCACTTCATTTACAATTTGAAGTGAAGATAATTTGTGTATCTTAATATGCTACAAGTACACCTACAAAACTGAACCAACTTTGGGAAATTAGCTTCAATAGTCTCACTTTCATTATAAAAAATAAGATAGCTGTAATTGTGTACATTAACAACAGAATATCACTTTTATATTAAATTGGTTTGTTTTCTTTTTACCCCATCCTCACTTTGAAAAACATACAGTTCTTTTAAAATGTTAATTGCTGAAAAATGATAAATTGTATATTTTTCCTGTCCTAAACGGCTTTGCTCATTTACCGAAAAGTCTCATTTACCAAAAAGGTGATGGTTTGTTTCTGGACAGTATATGGGAATTTTCTGAATTCTCTGTAAATGCATTTCAGAGAAGTTTTCGAACAGTTCTTTTTTTCCATTTCATCTGCATAACCAATGCTTTTCAGAAGCTCCCTCATATGATTCTATAGCTAAAAAACAAGAGCCTCTTTCCCCATTGAAATAAATGTAAACTATACATTTAACTTACTATATTACAAACTTTGAATTCTACCATGAAGAAATAATAACAGAAAGGAAATAAAATATCTCCTGTTAGTGTTCCATGAAATACTATGTTTGAGTCGAAAATGAGATTACCACTTACTTTTGACATTCAATAATGAAGGTGAGCTCGTAATTTGTCAAAATAGTACTGCAAGATGTTTTACTGAAAACCCTTCCCCTCAAAGAAAAACAGGTAAGTGAAGCCACAGATACTTCAACAAGGACCAAGCATAGCTGTTTATGGGGGTGGGGATGAGGATAGAACTGGAAGGGAGGAGAGATGAAGTAGACATGGAAATTAATTTTAAAAAATCCATTATTTCAAATTTCATTTATTGGGAGATTTTTGACTTATCTATTTTATTTCTACAAAACAATTGGTAACTGAAAAAAATAGAATTTGATCCAATCAATTAAAACTTAATTCTAAATTTCTGTTCTGGTTAGTAGGAGCATGCATTCACAAGCAACTTAAGGAGTTTCCATCCTAGGTTG